ACAAGGTCTATTCAGGATTATTCAGCAGCTTTATCACTTGCTCAGGAGCAAATTACCCTCCTCCGTCCCCAACTCCTCCTCTGTCAGTCAGGATTCAGCCTTCTGATTCTCCTTTGAATCAGTCTAATTCTAAAATGTGTACATAACATTATTGAACTTTAATGAAATCTGCAATACATTTATGTTGGTTCTGTTCGGTTTACCCTGGGGGGGTTATCGCTGCTCTCCCTGCTCTCATCCATGCTAGGCTGCATGGATGCGCAGGGAGTACTTGCCCAGAACAGAACCATACCGCCAATCCAAACTGTATGCGAATTGTCAATCATCTTTGACGATAGTGGTCCTGACAGAAATGATATGATATGATGGTAATACCATGTTTTTAAGACATGTACAATATTCATTTGGACATGGCACCATGTTATTACCATGTGATTTATATATGTAATTTTCTGGATGTAGTACTGACGTAATACCATGTATACCAATAATATGTTTTTTGTTAGTTTGTTTTTGTATAAGTTAATAACAATACATACACGTTTTTAAAAATACGGTGCCATGTTTTTTGATACCAGAGCAATAATACGTTTTATAATTGGTACCATGTTAATACCATGTTTTTTAAGAAATATATTTATTTTGACATTGAACCATATATTTATTTTGACATGTAACCATGGTAATACCATTTATTTATTTATTTTGCACATGGTAGTAGTTCCATGTTTGTTGTCAATTTCTACAATGAAAATACTGTACCAATGATACGTTTTTAAGACAGGGTTTGTGTGTGTTTTTTTTTTTCTGGACATAGCACCAACCTATGGTACTGTAATATGGTAATACTATGCTTTGTTTTGTTTTTTTTTGCACATGGTAGAATAGTAATACTATATATATATTTTTTTACTTTGTACCATGGTGATACCAATACCATGCATTTTTTGGACATGGCACCATTGTAATACCTCCTTTACACCTAATTCTGGACATTCTAGCAAGATGTTTTTAAGACAGTGTTGTTTAGTACGTTTTTTTGCCGAGGTATCATGGCAATATTACATATTTTTTAAAGATTGACCATGGTAATACCATAGTACCTTGGAGTACCATGTAAATACTATGGTAGTGTATATGAATAACGGTAATCATACACTGCCATAGCACTATGTAAGTGTCATACAAATAGTTAGATGCAATACTTAAGGTGATTCTACTGATCACGATATTAGTTACAGATTTGAAATGTGAAATTTATAAACGGGAAAGACAGTGTACTGATGATGTTTCCTGATGAAGAAGAGAGATGTAAAGAATCTCACATGAGCTGTGGTCTGAAGCGATGTATGAGAGCACAGAAAGCCAGGCCACTGATCCAACAGGAAGTGAGGTCAGTCACATTCACACCCCTGTAGCCCTCTGTCTGCTTCTGACACCACGTCAGTAACCGACTCGGCCTGATCTCAGACTCTGTTAAACACACATACAACCAGAGAAAAATGTTATTTTGAAACTGATCAACCCCCCCCCCCAAAAAAAAACCCTGAGAAGCAGAGACTTTAGCTATATGAAAATATATACAAGGATTGATCTGGACTGAAAGTCAAGGTGACGTCTTCTCTGTGTCAGGTGTCTGAACTTGCCTCATCAATCTCACAGCAGCATAATCCTCCTCTTACGCAACACACTGTTTATTAATGTTTCAGAGTGGTGTCATCCTGACAGCTAACTGTTTTTAGGTGTAGTAAACAAGCTCAAAAGAACAGCAATAGCGGAAAGGATTTATTCTGATTGAATTAGGAAACAGCAGCATGACCAGGGCCTAAAGATATGTGGTATTTCTGTTTTTGACTCTTGTTCTATTTCTTTTTAAGAGGCAAATTTAGCCAAGGAAAGAGGAAGTTCTGCAGAACAGTGCACGCACAGCACATTTCTAACTGATGTACATTACTGGTCAAAAGTTTGGAATAATATAAGATTTTCTTATGCTCACCATAATGCATTTATTTGATCAAAAATGCAGTGAAAACAGTAATATTGCAAAATAATATTATTACAATTTAAAAGAAGTGTTTTCTATTTGAATATATTTTAAAATGTTATTTATTCCTGTGATGGCAAAGCTGAATTTTGCAGGACAGGAAAGATGTCAATAAATAAACGTGAAAACAAAGTAACTGGCGTTACTTATTTGGAAAAGTAACTCAGATATTTCGTTGGAAATTTAAAAGTAATTAATTTCTTTACTAGGTACTTGAAAAAGTAATCTGATTGCATAACTCATGTTACTTGTAATGCGTTACCCCAACATTGATCATGAGTTCCTCAAAAATATAGTAGCAATAATAATTCAGCACCAAAATTAAGATATCAGAATTATTTCTGAAGGATCATGTGATACTGAATATATTTTAAAGACATTTTATTTTTTAAAACCGAAAACAGTCATTTTAAGTTATTTCACAATATCACTGTTTTTAATGTATTGTCAGTCAAATAAATGCAGACTTTTGAGCATACGAGACCTTTTTAAAAAAACATTTTAAATTCCAAACTTTTGACCAGTAGTGTATATTCTGGTATCTAATTAATATAAAGTTTAAAGGGCAAAGACACTATATTAAAAGGATAGCTCACCTAAAAATAAAAATCAGTCATTGTTTACTCACTCTCATGTCCTTTTTTTCTTCTGTGGAAAACAAATAAAGATATTTTGAGAAATGTTCATGCTGCTGTTTTCCATAAACAAAAGCAGACCTCAGAAGACTTGATATATAGCGTACAATTCATAAAAGTTGGTTTTTATAGCCCACTGTCATCATGTTTTATTTTATGGAAATAAGCAGCATGAACATTCTTTAACGTTTCTTCTTTTATGTTTCATGAAACTAAAGATCATACAGGATTGGAACAACATGAGGGCGAGTAAATAATGAAGTTCCATTTTTTGGATGAACGATTCCTTCGAGCAGCATGTCTGGAAGGATCCTTACTCCTCACTTAAGGTAGTTCTCTTCTTACTTTGGCACTGCTGGTAATAACAAATCTCAGTCTGGGTCAAATTCCCTCAGCAGAAAGAAATTCTACCTCTCCCTGAACCTGCTACATCGTAGAAGGACTGCACTCGCTCTGATGTTTTGAGAACATTCCTAAAACAGGAGCTGCCCGTTATCTGCAGAAGGTAGGAATTCTGTAAACACTTGTCTTCTCTCAACTTACTTGCGTTTTGTCTATGATTATCATATGCAAATCTCAGCGCTCATAGTGGCGGCAACTCTTGAGGAACTGACTGGTTCACTCAATTAAAAGAGCAGAGGATAATTATAGATATGTGTTAGACTGATTCGAAGGTTCTTCTAACCTCTTCTGGCCAAGTTGACAGGGCGGCGTATCGTGGCGGCCCGTTCCAGAGAGCACGACTTCATCTCTCCACAGATATAGTTGTTGCGGACCTACAAAGGAGAAATTTAAAATGTATATTTACGACTCTAAATTCTGATTGGATTAGCCACGTTTTAAAGCCTTGTTGAACAACAAAATCACTATAACACATAGCTTTAAAGAGGTCAATATGATGCTTTTTTAAAGATCATTATTTTGTGTATTTGGTGTATCAGAATATGTTGACATGCTTTAATGTTCAAAAAACACATTATTTTTCAATTACTGTACATTATTGTAGGTCCTCTATGCCCCGCCTCTCTCAAACGCTTTGTTTTCTACAAAGTCCCTCCTTCCGACAAGCGCAGTCTGCTCTGATTGGCCAGCTGAACCAGTGCATTGTGATTGGCCGAACACCGCAAGCACTCGTCGGAAATGTAACGCCCCTTACCATAATCGCGAGCTTCATCTTTCAAAATAAATGTAAAGACAGAGCCCGAAAGGGGAACAGAGTCGCGTGACAGACACAGTGATGAAGCTGGTATGTGTTTGCAGTACACAAGCCACGGTTAAGACAGTTGTGACCCTGTCTCTCTCTCTCTCTCTCACACATGCGCGCGCACACACACACACACACACAATGCGCAAAACTCCGCATCACCAAAGAGAAAGGAAAACTTGAAATCGCATCATATGACCCCTTTAAGGAACTTACTGCTTTTATAAAACAGTGAAAACAAAGGAAAAGAAGCACAAAATAGTTTAATTTAATAATAACAGTTTAAATTATCTGTAGGCATTTGTGGTTGCAAATCAGATTTGCCAATCACTGTTGTAATAAATGAATGTGCCAAGTTGCTTGGCAACTAAGTCGTCAACAGTTAATAATGTATTTATTTGTTGTGTTTATATACAGAACATCTCTTCAGTTTGGAATAATTATTTGGAATTCAAAATAATTTGTTATAAATTTCTTGGTGATCAGTTATTAATAGTGCTTAATAATTAATAATGGTTCTTATCATAAATGTTGAAGAGTTTTGACTGCTTAATATTTTTTAGCATACTTTGATCAATAGAAAATTCAATAGAAATAGAAATCTTTTGTGACATTATAACTGCCACTTTTGATCAATTTAATGCATCCTTGCTGAATAAAAGTATAAAATCATTTTTTTTTTTTTATCTTACTTCCCTCGGGACATGAATGAAAGGTATTGGTATAGGTTTCCACAAAAATATTAAGCGGCAAAAACTGTCGATGCTGAAAATTCAGCTTCTCCATGATAGGAATAAATTACATTTTAGAATAAAGTAAAACAGAAAAAAAAAAACAGTTCTTTTAAACTCTAATAATATTTCACAGTATTACTGTTTTTTTTATCAAATAAATGCAGCATTGGTGAGCGTAACGGACTTCTTTCAAAAATTGCAATTATTCCCAACTGTTATGTATTAGTTTATCATGATTGGCATGCGTGTTAAAAAACAATAAGTCACTTGAGGTTGTGAATTGCAGTGATTTTACCATGCATTTTTTTTATGTAAATAGTAATGCCATCTCACCTGGTGTGGCCTCACACAGTTTGAATTAAGGTTGGGATAGCGTGTTCCTGGATCTATGGTGTAGAAATCTAAGTTTTTGGCGATGTTTTCAGGTGTTGTCTGAGGTAGCAATCGGTACAAACTCTCCCTAGAAAAATTAACAACAAAACACCTACATAAACAGGCTATTAATGGTATAATAAGTACCTGTTAACTTTCAACACATTTAAAATCGGACAAAAAATATTCATTAATATTATGAATATTAATTATGAAACCATTTACATCTATCTTTTTTATAGATGACATCATGTTTCTGTATTCATCTGGAGCTGTGTGTGCATTTATTGTTTGCACATGTGAAATTTGACCTTCACTGACCTCTCTGCCAGCACCTCGAGTGGATTTCTACTCTGCGCCCAACTTTTTACCATCCAAGCCGTGTCAAAGGCTGCCAGGAAGCCACGGGCACAGCCGGTCCCCATAGGCCAGAAGGGCTACAGTAAGACAGACAACCACAAACACATGTCATCAGAATCAAACGTAATTATCATAAATATAAATAAACGCAAGGATGATGATGATTATTTAAGTGCAACTGCACAGTAATGTAATCTCCTCACCTCTAGAAGACTGTCTCCCACTAGTGCCACCAGCACACTGTGACCAAACCTCTCCCGGACCAGAGCAGCATTTTCTGAGGCGTACATGCTCGTGAAATCGAACATGGCCACATCAGGCTGACCGCAGTGGTTCATGGCGTAGTCCAGCGTGGGCAGCTGGTAGTGGGTGGCGTAGTCGGCTGCCTCTCGTCCATATGCCAGCAAAGCCTCTTGGTTCACATTCTCACTGTTCAGCAGTGCCTCAGTGTCGATATAATCCTAGTCAATACAAAATATTTGGTTACCACACCAAACATACAGTATGTCTACTGACTGAAAGTGAGCTGTGATAGCCGATTCTTTAACTAAGACTGCAAGCAAGTCAAAACTAATGTCTACTGATTAGACATTAGTTTGATAGCTGGTTCTTTGGTTAACGTGAAACGGGATTCACAATGCATTTTACTTCTGAAATATAAATGAAACAAATACTATGAAAAAAACACAAGGTGGGACTTTTATGCACTGTGCATTAACTGTGCACTGAATGATTGAATTGTAAAAAGTTATTATTCAATACAAGAATGGAGACAGATCATAAAGACTCTTCACATTTTTTTTTTTAGTTTAAGGGTCAGTGACATGGTCAATTTTTACATGGATCTATTTTCAAAATAAATTGGAAAATATGCAAGATTTAAGCCTTATTAAAAGGATATTATTTATAAATGTATTATTATTATTTAGAAAAATTAAGCAGTTAAGTAATTTTGTTAAAAATGTTCCAGATGTTTAAAATAAAATTAAAGTCATGTAGTGTGACCACCATGAAGAGACATGTAGAAAACAAAAATACACACACACACAAGTGTGTCAATGTCAGTGAGTAGGTTTTAAAATGACTAATTCATGTTCAAGCTGTAAAATGTCCAATTAAATTTGAAGAATTTAATTGTAAAATCATGGTACAATCACCAAAAGTGATTTTAAGTGATATATTTAAATTATTTTATTTTTTAATATTGAAAATATTAAGAAATGTACAATATTTTTTAAATATATATTTTTCAATTTCTTTATCTTGGACACTGCTATTTACAATTCACCCTTAAACATAAACCTCACTAAACGCTAAAAACAACACCAAAAAAAAAATCTTATTCTCTGAAAATAAGTCTTAATCTCTTATGCAACTTTGTTCCTCAAGAAAATGTACCTTGTTCTAAGGATCCTTAAATATTTTTACTGAATAAAAAAAAAAACATCTATATTTGATATGTACATGGATCAAAGACGAAAAAGGGTTTATGCATAAAAACAATGTGTAATACTGCTTTAAATTGTTGTTGTTTTCCCCCCCAAAAATGTAAATATTTTCTGTTTAATTTAATTGCAATTTTGTTTTTGTTTTTCCCTGATTTACAGAAGAGACCCATAAAATGTCATTCAGTGTAACAATCTTGTCAGGCATATTTACAACAAAAATCCATTAATTACATATTAAAAGACTAATTACTTTCACCCCAAATACTAATTAGTTGTAATTTTACATTTTTAAAATTTGCCACTATCCTAAGTTTTGCCCATTTGTCAGTAAGATTTTTTTACTCATTTAAAACACAATCAAATTTAATATGCTCCCTTATTCTTTTATACTGTATATTTTAATATGTACACATCAGAATAAGCATGTTGTTTGAATTTTTACATAACTATTGTGTTACACTGAATGACAATGTAACATTATTTCAACCAAATTTTGACATTTTATTCTCCAAAAACGTATTTGAAACCTTAAAAGTAGACACTTTACTTACATTTAATGTGCTTTCTATGGACATAAAATCACTTTTGTAAATTTCTTTTGATGTGGACATCTTAATGTCTTTGACCCACATATACATATACTGGGGAGGGGGCCAAATTTGTTTGGTGATACTAGTAGTGCAGAAATTACACACTTGACCTTGACCATAAAAATCCAGATCTGCAAAACAGACACATAAAATCACTTTTGTACATTTCTTTTGATGTGGACATCTTAATGTCTTTGACCCACATATACATATACTGGGGAGGGGGCCAAATTTGTTTGGTGATACTAGTAGTGCAGAAATTACACACTTGACCTTGACCATAAAAATCCAGATCTGCAAAACAGACGCTAAATAAAATATCTGCCTTCAGACAGTGTAAAAAAGGGCTTGAGGAAAGACTGGATGACTTTCCAAAGCTGGCCACAATCCAAAATAGGATTTTAGTGAACACACTCAGCCGCACACTCAGTTCTAGCACTCGACTCACTGTGTGAATCAGATCAGCACAGACAGTGCCAACAACCCTAATGTGCGCCAATGATGAGGCCCAAGAACTGAGAGTACCAGAGAGCGTTTGTGCCTGTGTGTCTCCACCCCTGATAAATATGTGCTCCTTAGGAGTGTGTATAAGTCTCTGGACATATTGTTGTTAGGTGTCTCGTCCCTCCTTCTTGCAAGAAGCTGAGATAAAGAGTTCACTCGACACTTGCTACAGAGCAAAGCACCAAACTCACATGAATGATGACACCCTTGTCCAGCAGGCTCTGCTTCTTAGCCGTCATGACAAAGTAGTGTGTGTTGTCTTTGTAGTAGACGATGTTCTCTAGATCAATCCCTGCAAAAGAGACGAAATCGTGGTATTACTTAAAGGGGTCATATGACGTTGCTAAAAAGAACATTATTTAATGGAATTGCCCCACTTTATAGAAACAACCTTTGTGCACAACATTGTAGGCTACTCTCCCAGGTTCAGGAAGCAGTCCTCCGTAAAATGAGCTGCACACATCTGAATATTTGGTTTGAACTGTTCTGGAACAGTGTTGTAAATACAACTTAATCAAGGCGTTTTAGGAGGGCGTGGACGAGTCTTAACTTTTTTAAAGAATATCTCTTTGGGTTTGAGACTTTAGTCTTTGCAACTTTAGGGATCTTATCTATGCACGAACAGCTTGTAACACTCCAAAGAGAAAGGAAAACTTGAAATTGCATCATATGACCCCTTTAAATCTGTGTCAGAGACTCTCATCTGTAACATCTTCATGCCTGTAATATGATAAAACGAATCTCATGAGGTCAGAGTGAGTTTAACACAGGATTTTAAAGGAATTCAGTTTCAAAGGGGTACGAGTCACGACAGGTATACAAAGCATACGTAAGTGTTTGAAGGGAGGAAGCCCATAATCCCCTGGAGGATAAACATTCACGGGGCAAATCAGAGCAAGAGGACGATAACTGAAATATGGTCGCTCCTAACAGCAAATAACACTGACACGCTTATGGAAAACATTGCGGGAAATACCGGGAAGAGGTGAAAGTACATAGTTGAGATGGTTGGGAGATATTTCTTTATTATCCAGAGGGCTGGATGCTTAGTTTAGACGAATGTGGTGTATTTTTAGTGGCTAATGTGGCACATATTGCTCACCAGTTTCCTGTTTGAGATCCTGAAAGAATTTCTGGTTGAAGATGAAGGCAACTCCACTTATCTCTTCGACCTTTGCCTCAGCGGTGGTGTTTCTGTTGATAAAGTTTGCCGTTATGGCGATGGCCAGTTTGCCACGAAATTCCTTCCTCCTGAACCCTGAGAAAGAGAGAGAGAAGAAGGGGAAAAGAGCAAGGGGAAAAGTGTTTAGAAGTTTGTAAAGCAATAACGGTGCATTTTTTTCCTCGTGTTTGAAAGAGCTAATCTAATGCAGCACAAACATGCCGCTCTACCAGTATTATACACCCATTATTTTAGGTTCTCAGAGGCTCAATTTAACTCCAAAGTCCACACTGAATACTGCCCGTCTGAAGATATTTTGGGGTTTAAAAGAATTAATATTCAGTAATATCATCAATTTAACTGTACTGACACTATTGAATAGGACAATAATTTGAACAGAATTGAGCTGGACGAACATTGCATCATTGACACTTAAACTGAACTCAAACAACATTGAACTAAACGGAGTTGAATTATAATACTATTGTCTTCTATAGAGCTGATTTAAAGCTGAAATATAATGTGTATCATAATCAATTTTACAGGACTGACACTGTTATTTTCCTGTTTATTAATATGAAGTTGCTTTGAAACAATCCGAGTTGTATAAAGAGCTATGTAAATAAATGTGACTTGACGTAACCAGGGTAATTATCGTTAACTAAAACTAAAACAATAAAAACAATTTTCATTACTTGAAATAAAATATTAACTGAAATAAAATTTAATATTTTTTAAAAAAACTTGCCAAGGCAACATTTCTCATTTTCATTTAGTTTGACTTGAGCAGTACTAAAACAACTAAAACTTATTAAAAAACTACATAGACATACAGTATTTAAAATAATAATAATAATAATAATAATAATAAAATGACAAAAACACACAACAAAATTACTAAAACTAAAAATGAAAACAATATATAAAAATCAAATCAAATTCAAAATATTAACAAACATAGTACATCAATGATATAAAAATAACGCTTGATTTGACTTGAAGATTGAAGTTTAATGAACAGTTATGGGCCAATAGTTATGGGGTGATATTTCATAGTGGCCGGCCTACCAAGGTCCCGTCCACAGAAATACAATACGTTTAAAAATATTTTCTCTACATTTTGCCCTCTTTCCACACATTAGCAGCATTTTACAGTTAGTCATTGAAAACTGAGATTTTTGAAAACGCCTTTCAAAGTGAGGACGTTTCAAAACATTATTTTCTGTAATGCATGTTGACAGGTAAAATAGAGATGCTGGAATTTGGTGACATCACAAACACAATTTGAAAATTATGACAATTTTCATATTTGGGTGAACTATTCCTTTAATCACTGAATATGTATATACTGAGTCTGTCAAGTAAATCTCTTCTGATAAAGAGAGATTGATCTGCACAACAAATGAAAGGCGAAAACTGCCTTTTCAGAATATTTGTACCCGTATTGAGTCCCAAGAGATCGACAAAATATTCTGTTTCTCATTGTTTTTTTTTGGACAGAAACTCTGATTGACTCAGAAAATATATTTTTTATTGCATTATGCCTGATTAAGACATGTTAGAGCTCAGTTATGAAAAAAGACTGAACAAAGTGTCTTTATGTATTAGAACTAAATACTAATGGCAAATAAGTTCATCCAAATTTTACAAAAATGGCACACGCTGTTCATTTTTAATGGCTGTTGAGTGGGCTGACTTGGCTCGAGGAGAATTGGCTCTGCTTTCTCATCCTGCAAAATAATGCATGAGGCTCTACAGAGCTTCTCTACGAACAGACACCGATTTGATTAAGAGCCAGAACTGTTCCATTACTGCCATGTTGTTAATTCACTAAGGCATCAGTTCTCTTCTTCGTCATCTGCTTTTCAGTCCAAATCCAGCTGCTTTCGCCTGACCGCTGCTCTGCCTCAGAATAGGATAAATTTAACTTTCCCTAGACGTCTTGAACTAGCTCACTTAATGTCCAAAACAAACTGGGTTTCTTTTTTTCCCTGAAGTTACTCATAATTGGGCAATGAGCTAACATCTCATAGTTTGGAAGGCACAGTTGAAAAAAATTGCCTTTTTTGGAAAAAGCATTTGATTAGGGATAAGTGAAAAGATGACGAACCTGGAAAACAGAGTCCAACGGACTCCCATCATCAGCTGAAAAGTGTTCAGAAACCCTGCGAGCTCCTCAAGAGCACATGTTGACTCGCTGATCTCATATGTAACTGGTGGGTGGCTGGTGACATCATGCAGTATCGCTTTACAACATGATTTTATGGCTTAATAACCTTCTTGGATAAAACATTCCATTCTAGGGACTTCGGCCAAGAGCACAGGCCACATTTTAAGAGTTGCTGAGGTTATTTTAATGATAGAAAACCCATAACAAAGAAAGGGTTTGGATTATATCTTAAAAAGTTGTATTAATGCTGTTTAAATGGATCCTCTGTAGTGAATGGGTGCCGTCATGAGAGTCCAAACAGCTGATAAAAATATCACTATAGCCCACAAGTAATCACAACAGCTTTCACTTCACAAGTAATTCACACCACTCCAGTCTTATAATGTCTTGTAGATTATTGTGATGTTTTTATCAGCTGTTTGGACTCTCATTCTGACGGCACCCATTCACTGCAGAGGATCCATTGGTGAGCAAGTGATGTAATACCAAATTTCTCCAAATCTGTTCTGATGAAGAAACAAACTCATCTACATAAGAGTGAGTGAAGGAGTAGATTTTCAGAAAATTTTCATTTTTGGGTGAACTATTCCTGTATTTGCCATTTTGCTCATATTCTTTCACATTCTTGGCACATAACCCATCCTGCACCGTTTGTGTTCTAGACGTGAAAGATACCTCAAATTGTGTGACTTGTTGAGAAGTGTGCTGTTACATTATTTGAAAGACCATATGACATGCTGTTTTCATGTACATGCTATCATATTTTAGGTAGGTATCATTTTAGTTACTGCTAGAACAGTTTGTAATCGTAGAGCAAAGATTATTATAGCCTCTTAGTTACTGTGCAAACAAAGGGCTGCATGTGTTTATTTTAGTCTGCATAATATATGTAATTCAGCACAGCATACAGATTTTAACATTTTATTTCTCATGAGCAGTTCTTTAATGGTGATTGAGCAGCAATTGCATCATCTCCACCCATCTGGGCGTATACCTTCTAAAGAGTTTCGTCTCCCATCAGCTCCCACCACCACATCAAAGTCGAAGTCGGCCACAGGGTGATCCGCAGGCCAGATCTCTGCCCTCCAGCCCGGCCCTGCAGAAACAAACACATTCATTCAGCCTGAAAAATGACAAATCATACCTGTGATATCTTTAATATCTCCCAGAGAACAATGAGATTTTCAGATGCTTTTCAGAGATTGACCCAAGTAATCTGTTTGTTTTTCTTCTTGAGTTTTAGAAGAAATCTCAACAATGTCTCAAAATGTGCTCTGATTTGGCAAGATGTCAATTTCTGAGTTTTAAATATGAACTCGAACATCAAACTCTCCAGAGACTTAATTATCTGAGCTGTTACCCACTTTAATTTTCTAGCTCTATACTCTTGCATGCCAGCTATTGACTCATTTGTTAGTAGAAATAAAAATAGACGTGCCATTCTACTAAGAAAACAATCCTAGCAATCTTTGTATTTCAAAAGAGATTTCAACAATGTCTCAAACTCCAAAAACTTAATTATTAACTTATCCACATGCATTTCATAGCTCTATATTCTTAATGCATGCCAACAATTTATTCTGTTCTTTCTATTTTTATTTCTCCTAAGGAATTTCAGAAGCATCTAAGAGTTGATACAAAACTGGGAACTCATTTAATCTCCCAAGCAACATCTGAGCAATATTTTTTCCTCCGGGGAGGACAGGAGCTGGGAGGAGCGAATACAATACAAATATCAAAATATTTCAAGACACTTCACCCAAGTTCACTTCTGAGGGACTGCTCTTGCTGTAAGTGAACCACAGGTTGTTTTAAATGAAAATAATCTGCTAAATGAAAAACATTTTTCTAACAGCTACATATTTCAACGAGATTAGGTCATGCTACTCATGTATGCATTATGCAATCTTGACTAAAATTGCCATGCATTCCAGAAACATACAGTCACAGCAAGTCATTCAACTATTATTAATAAAAGCCAACCATCAATGTCAAACATTTAAAGTACAACTTTAAAGCAAAATAAACACATATACAAGCTGAGAACTTTACATGATCCAACTGAACTATATCCAGGATCATGAGTATCGCTCAAAGCCATAGTACAGGGTCACAGCAAGCACACATTCTTAATTTAGAAAGCTCTTTTGGTTTTTATCAGCCTGCTGTCATTGCTGTTGAAGGGAGAAAGACAGATTGCTAATGGTCTAGAAGTCTAGGGGAGAAGCTTACGCAATGTTGTTCCTCCATAGATGACCAAAGTGGCCATATATGGAAACACACTCCTTGGACCTAGAGTACGAGTTGTGTCTCTAATTATCAAGATCTACTAATCGTTTAGAAATCTTGTGAAATGAGATCGCAGAGCAGTGTGTAACGAGAGAACACTATGCATGCTATGTAGTCATAAAATGACACTTAGATGCGGGAGGGGAGAGTGAAGTGGATCTGCACACTTTTCCATGGGCATTAAAATTGCATTAACAGCTCTGCAGGTGTTGTTTGGTTGTCATGGAAACAGCTATTATAGTGAGGCAGGAAGCACTCCGTCCGTTCATCTTCCTGGTAATGACAGACCAGCCCAGAAAACCTTACACAGCTCCAAAGAAAATGTCAGAGACAGCAAAATCAAAAGAACCTAGATTCATCAAGAAGCTTATGTGGTGTCTAATAACACTATGGGATATAAATCAAAGTAGTGGGATATATGGGCATTCTGGGTATAAACAGGCTTAGAAAGCAGACTGAGTAGTTGGTGCATATATTATACCAGTGAAAAGTTTGGACACGGTTGACTGAATGCATGTTCATTATAATTAACAAAGATATTTTTAATAAAACGCATTACTCTTAAATGCCTATGTATTTAGTTTTAATGGATAAGTTGGAGCAGATAATGAAGGAACAGCAGCCAAAAAGTGTCTAGCATATGTGTGAACTCTTCGAATACTGGAAAAAAGCATTATGTATAGTAGGGAAATATATACATAACTTTTACAAAGAGGGACTCTCACAAGAGGATCATCATATTTGGCTGTCCAAGCCATCAAAGTTTTAAAACCCCTGATCCAGACAAAGGGAAGCTACTTTGAAGAAGCAAAAATATAAAATAGCATTTCCTGATTGCTACATAACCCCATATTACCTTTTGTGTTGTTTTTATAGTTTTGTGTCATCATCTAGTTTTTCAGTAGTTAAAAACAGCAGAGCATGGCGCTAGCAACACCAAGGTCATGGGTTCAGTTCCCAGGGAAAGCAAGAATTGATATAAAATGTGTACTTTTAATGCAATGTATGTCGCTTTTGAATAAAAGTATCTGCCAAATGTAAATGTTTAGTATTCTGGAAGTAGCAATAATAAACATCTTTCGACTGACTGCTAGTCGGGAGAGCGTCTAGTCTGGATCTGGGGCCGTCAGTCTTACCCTCATTCTCCTGGTCCTCTGGAGGCTCCACTAGCTTGATGAACTCCACATTTACGTGAAACTCCACACCCAGAAGCAGAGCGATCTTCAGGAGCATGAGCTGGAGCTGCCGAATGCCTGCCAAACCCAGCCAGAGCAAGAACCATTAGCCTCACAGTCACGCTAACAATGCCTCACTTATAAAAACACCAACCAGTAGAACGAACAGATGTGAGAACAGAAATATCGTCATTAGAGTGTCAGGATAGTATTTTCACTTAGTGTTTCATCATTTGGATAGTTCGTCCCAAAAATGGAAATACTATCATCGTCTCTTTTCCATACAGTGAAAATGGATAGGAACTGGGATTGTCAAGCTCCTAAAAGGACATTAAAGCAACATAAAAGTAGTTCATATGACTTCTGTGCAATATTCCAAATCCTGAAAGGTCATACATTTCAGTTTGTTCCTCACACAAAGCTATCGTAAGCCTTGACAGCCAGTGGTCACCATCCACTTCACTGTATGGAAACAGCAGCCTTTTGTTTCGTTTTCCCCAGGAATAAAATATTCTGCGATAGAGTGATGGTGAATAAGACTGTAAATATATTATCTATATTATGAAATATAGTTAAGTCAATATATTTGACTGAATTTCAGCTATGAAATAAAGATGTTGATGTGGATCAATAACTTGTTTCAATGACTTTAATCAATTAAGTAAATTAAACAAAATATACATTAGAAAACCTGAGTTACGTCTACTTGCCTTTTAAAGCTGCAGTCCATAACTTTTTATCAATACTTGAGCAAGTACATAACCAGCCAGTGTTCAAAACTATCGCCTTACTTCAGCCCGATTCACAACGATTAGCTTATAATAATGTTTTCTAATTTGAGTGGTACGGGTAGGTTTTCACGGGAAATTCGAGCATGCTGTTGCGTCATTACGTCACGTCTGTAAACATAAAGAAGTTGTCCCGGCTACTAGGCTATCGCATGTGAGGATCCTGCAGGTGCCGGATCGTTTATAGCCTTTTCTCACAGCAGCTGGAATAATTCATTGTCAAAAAATAATTTTGATGGCAGATTGTAATCCAGAAAGGATTATATGAAACACATGTGAATGAAATTAAATTATATTCCAGTTTTAAATGTGCTTCTGATTACAGATAGCCTGGGATTACACACGATTTGTATTTTAAAGACAACCAGTTCGCAGGGAGCATAGTTTGCTTTTTGGGTTAAAAGAATTTCTTGGTATGAAATTCGAATTGTTTGACAATTAGAGATTAGACTACAGGCGACAAAGAGGCAAAACTTACGGACTGCAGCTTTAAGTTATCTGTACTTTAATATTTATGTTAATTCAATGGGAATTAACTGTTATAGTATTATTTATATATTATTATGGTTTATTCATATTTTGATTAAGTTTTTACTTTTATATTTTCATTTTAATTTGATTACTTTCTAGTAATTATTTCTATTAAAAATGTGACGTGATTGTCTTTTTTATTTTTTATATTACCATTTAGATTTAATTTATTTTTATTTTTAGTTTAAGTTTTTATTTATTTCCAGTTAGTCGTTTTAGTGCTTTAACTTAAATGTATTTAAATTAGTTGCCAACTCAACATTCTTTTTATTTCAGCTTTATTTCAATTGAAATATGTTTATAATAGTATTAGATTTAGCTATCTATAATAACCTGAGGGAATGAGTTTCCTCAAAAGAGTTGAGTAGACTTAACTTATTAGGATTTATAATGTAAGTTTTTTGGTAAAATATTACTGTAGATAACCTTCAAAGGTTGCATACACTGCATGTATAAATAAAGGAAGGGCTTTGAAAAGAATCAAAAGGAGAACTAAAAATGACTACTGCTTTAAACAAGGAAGTTATGATAGGTTGCTTATAATGATAAGTTGTTTCAGAACTCACTGATGTGGTCGATTGCTCCAGCACAGAACTTTCCATAGAACTTCTTGGCTCCTAAGGCCCTGAGGTCATGAATGGTGTAGGGCCAGAGATGTAGGACGTTGTTCCTGGAGAATGTATCTCTCTTCTCTATCACCACCACTTTGGCTCCGAGGAAAGCTAACTCGATGGCAGTCCGCAAGCGAATTTAACCAAGGTCACTCTTTTCATTTAAAAAACAGAGAAAGTAAAGAACAAATGGGTGATGCTTTTGTTTTCATTGCCTTTTAAAATTCCACAAATATATATATA